ACAAGGGTTTCACCTTTCAAGCTCAAGCTTCATGGCACCAAGTGCAGGCCATGCACATATAACATGTCCCTCCAAAGGCACTTTTTTTTTTAGTTAGGTGGAAAGCAAAGCTTTTATCCTCACAAAGTCCTGAGCTGGGCAGTGATCTGGACTGGGATTTGGCAAGACCATTTTGCTCCTTGGCATTCTGCCCAGTCCAGTGATTTAGCTCTTTAAATTGTATCATTCAAGCCTACAAATGTCATAGATCCCATTAGACAAATTCGTCTGGTTAGCATCACAGAAAAGAGAGAACATGATAAGCTTCCTGAGGCAAAAAGTTAAACCATTTCTAATATTTCATGCTTTGGGGACTATATTTCAAGTGAGGTTCACTTGTACAATGGTATGAAGTGCTAGCTGGTATCATTTTGTTCAGTTAAGAATACACCTCAAGGCCAGTGCATGATGTTGGGAAAGCCAACCTCATTCATCTTTTGGCTTAGGTTAATGGCAGATGAGTGCAATCTGCCAAGTATAATGGTAAAGAGTGATGGGAAGGCACCTTCCCAATAATACACCATCAAGAGATGCCAGAAATTCCATTATTAGTTACTTTTTCCCAGAATAATAGCAGACTAAGACGAGCAGCAAATATACAGAGAAAGGATTGGTCTCAGAACCCAGAGCAAGGCTGATGCTAAAGCCGTGTGGATTGGAAGAGTGCAGGGCACTAGGCAAGTCATTAGACATTTACATAAGCCTATACATGTAGGCAGATAATGCAGGGAACCCATTTTACATCACTCAATGCAAAATATAAAGGTGGGCATGGAAACATAAAAGAGATGTCCTAGGCTGGACAGTAGTCTTCTCCTTTCCCCTCCATCACATCTTTCTTGTCCTAGACACATCCTCTGTACCCAAGGCCCCAGCAAATTTTCTAATCAAGGAATCCACATTAAGGTGTTATTATCTGTTCAGCCACAGTATTTATTATTCCTTCCAGGGATAATTTTAGAGATGCAGTGTCTTAAACCAAAGGAGTAACTATAATAGTATAATATCAGGCAGACCTCTGGAGGAGATATTTTTCTCTATAGGGGGATATTATGAAATTTCTCACAACACAACTCACTGGAAATGCAATAGACCAGATGAATTTCAAGTGCAAGAGATGAAAAGTAAAGCTAGATTCTGAATTGACTATATATCATTCAATTATACTTACTTCAAGTTTCAAATTACCATGATTTTACTGTCCTCTCTCTTCACTACTATAGCCCACGATCTGGCACATAGTGAGAGATTAATGAATTCTTGTTGCCTTCATTATTATTGCTACAAGAACCAGTAGTAGTAATAGTGCTGTTGCAGTACCTGGCACAGTGTCTGGGACATATTATATATTCAAAACTATAATAATTATTTTATTGCACCAGCTCCTGGCATAGTGCTTGGAACATAATAGGGCACTAATTTAGTTAGTTCTACTCATTCTCATCATTCTCTTGGATACATTTGTCTTCAGTTTCCCACACAGCTGTGCCTTACTGCAGTAGACACAAATCTTCCTGTAGCAGTAATGGTTAACCCAGCACCACCAGTGACACCATCTGAAAAGACATTCAGCCTTTCTTTCCATGGCAAATGGGCAGCAAATGTTTAAGATCATTTTTCAGATGGGGAAATAAAGGTTATGGAATTTTAGCTCACCTCTAATCCCTGTATCTTACACCACTGTTTCCCAACTAGGCCATGATAAATCTCACCACCTTTGTTCTTGCACTCTGCAGTGTCTGGACTACCCTCACATTTTTATATTTAATTCATTCTCCAAGGACTGACTTAATGGCTACCTTCTCTGTGAAATCTCTCAGACACCCAGCCCTCACTGAGCCCTTTCTGAAATCCCAAAGCTTCATATCACTACCACATAATTTAGTACTTCATTCATGACCTTGCCAACCCTCCTCAGCTAGGTTGTAGTTGCTCATTAAATAGTCATTTGTTAAGCACCCATCATGTTTCAGATCATTTAAGTGCTGGGAGGACAAGAATCAAAGTATTCTTACCCTAGTGGCAGGGAGACAAACATGCAGTTGGGTTACATTGGAGAATTATGATCCAAGTGTCCATGGAGAATTTAGAGGAAGGTTGGCTAACTTTCTGAGGGTATTGGGGGAAGGCTTTACAGAGAAGGGGACCTATGAGGAAAGTAGTGGAGCCAAGAAGGATTTTGTTAGGTAGAGATAGTAGGATGAAGCCATGTGCAAAGACATGTTCATAAAACAGCAACTCAGAGAACATGGGTCAATACAGCTAGAACTAGGGTGGGATGGAGTAAGATGAGAGAATATCATGGAAGGTTTACTCATTTTTCATCAAATATACATCAAGCATTTATGGTATGCCAGGAATTGGCGAGGTGCAGGTGCTGAAAAAACAGGACAGATGCAATCTTTGCACTTGAGCTTTAAGGATAATTGGACAGAGCAGACAACTTTCAGTAAGAAAAAGAAATATATAACTACAAATTGTAGTAAGCATTAAGAAGGAACAGAATAGAGTGTGATTAGGAGAAGAATATGAAGTAACTACTTTATAGAGGGTAGTTAGTGAGGATTGCTCTAAAGAGGTGACATGTTGTTGAGGGTGGAAAGATAAAAAGAGCTGAATAAGAGTGTTCCAGGTGGTGATGAAAGATTTTGAGGGGGGGGCGAAAACTTGGCATGTTGGAAAAATTGAAAGAAGCTCCACAAGGCTAAAAAATAGTCATAAGGATATAAAGTAGAGCATAGGGAATATAGTCAATAATATTGTAATAACTATGTATGGTGTCAGGTGGGTACTAGATTTATTGGGGTGATTACTTTGTAAGTTATATAAATACAGAACCACTATATTGTATACCTGAAACTAATATAATATTGTATGTCAACTGTAATTTTAAAATAAACAAATAAAAATAGTGGATGAGGGTGAGACAATGGCTTAAGATGAAGTTGGAGAGGTAAAAACACAAGCCAAGACCTGGTAGGCCTCATAAGGAAGTGATGATTTTATCAAAAGAATAGCAAGAAATCAACCAAGGAGGAGTGAAATGGTATCAGGTTTGTGTTTCATGGGGTAACTTAGGGGTAGTATGGTAGACAACCTGGAGAGAAGAGAATCAAATCAGGATGATCAATTCTAAGGCTGTGCATTGGTCCAGGTGAGAAATAACAAAGGCAAGGATATGTTCTTTCATATCCTCCAAAAGTGACTAGCATATTGTTAGTCACATGGAAGGCTTCTACCATGTTCACATTAATTAGCTAAATAAATATAAACTGAATTGAGTTGCTGAGTCCCTCTCCAGGAGATCAAACTGTCTCTTCTTCCTCTTCCCTTTTGTTTATAATGGAGATAGGGAAGCAGTCTACAATTAGTAGTATTAAAGTCATTTGCTGTTTAGTGACATATGCTTACTCTAAGTGCCGCTTTCCTTTAGTCACTGCTGAGTTACTTGAAAGTAGCACAGGAAAATATCAGTATTTCTCAAGACAGCCAAACAGCACCCTACTCTCCTGAGATTTCAATGTGGAGAGAAATTTGTCATTTAGGCCTGTTCAGGGCAAGGGGTAACACTCATCTTCAAATATTAGCTTCCCAGAAGATCATAAGCACATGAATTGCAAATGCCACTTGGAATATATGCTTTTCCCTCTGCCAAAACAGAGATGTAATTACCTGGAAGAGGGAGGCAAACGTTTGTGGGAGCTTCATGTCTTCATCTCTCTTACATCAAGAAGATGAGACAAGAGTCCCTTTATCACATTTCCATTTCCTTTTACTGGCAAAACAGTTTGGTAATGAAAGACATGTAAATAAGTCTATCCAAAGTAAGCCTCCAGAGGGCCTTGGAGGTCCCAGGAGTAGGAGGAAAAGGCAATCACCTAATGAGCCTGAGCTTCATCTTCTACCCTGGGGAGGATAGCCATTTCTACCTCACAGGGCTAATACAAGGAGTCAATATGGAAGGTTCATGAATTTGATTTGTGAACTACAAGGCGGGAGCTCTATACTGTGATTCATTCTATGCAATTGAAGGCAAAGTCTGCCACATTTTCTCCCAGAGAGTTAAACACATTGCAGGAACTCAAGAATAGGTTTTACTTTAAATTCAATTCTATGAAAATCTGGCTTTAGATTTGGAGCATGTAAAACAGACTATTCACTTCTCAGATTTGAATCACATTCTCAGATCTGTCAGCTCCTTGGTTTGAAAGAGTGGAGGAAAAAATCATGAGTGGGCAGAGAGGGTATGTGCTTACCTTTTGCAGCTGCCTTTGGTCTATTGGAGCCAATACCCCTTCCCCAGTGAACAGCAGCAAGAGGCAGAATTTCAGTTAGCACTAAAACAGGATTGCAATCCAGGATCTGCATTTGGGGCAGCTGCAAATGTAGTCCTGAAAATCAGGACAAACTTATAGGTCCAGAGCCCAAAGAAATTGGCCAAAGATGAACTCCTACTTTGCATCATCAATGAGAAGCATTATCACATGTATTTTCAGGCAGTAGAAGAAAAGGAAGAAACTAGCTTGTGCCATGTCTCAGGAGGTTTACCCTGAGCCAGCTGCTTTGATAATGTATTATCTTATTTAATTCTTATGATAGCTTGATGAGGTAAGAATTATTCTTTAGCACAGGGCCTGGTATACAGTGAGCAGTAACTAATGATAACTGCTGTACATATTATTAATATTGATAACCTTAATAATAATAAACTGAAACAGATGGCTTGGCTTGAATAACTTATCCAAGGTCACAGAGCTTGTAAAGTTAGAATTTGGGCTCAGGTCTTTCTGACCTCAGTGCCTAGGCTTTTCTGCTATACTCCTTTGCAAGAAGAAAAAGATTGTGACATTAAAACAATTTGGGATTTTCCAACCTGTTAGCAAGACTGCCTCCACAGTTGGCCATTTGAGACCTTCAGGTATCTAAGAATATCTTTGGTCTCCCTTTCTCTCCTCACTCAGGTTTCTAAATTGCTATGAACCATGGCCCAACTGTACTACAAAAAGGTCAACTACTCACCATACAGAGATCGCATCCCCCTGCAAATTGTGAGGGCTGAGACGGAGCTCTCTGCAGAGGAGAAGGCCTTCCTCAATGCTGTAGAGAAGGGGGACTATGCCACTGTAAAGCAGGCCCTCCAGGAGGCAGAGATCTACTACAATGTCAACATCAACTGCATGGATCCTCTGGGCCGGAGTGCTCTGCTCATTGCCATTGAGAACGAGAACTTGGAGATCATGGAGCTACTGCTGAACCACAGCGTGTATGTAGGTGATGCCTTGCTCTATGCCATCCGCAAGGAAGTGGTGGGTGCTGTGGAGCTTCTGCTCAGCTACAGGAGGCCCAGTGGAGAGAAACCGGTAAGACAAGTCCCTATAGGCTGGGAAATAGCAAGGGACAACAGGACATCATATTCAGAAACCTTGAAACTAGGGAAGGTCAGGTAGCCTAGAGTTGAGAAGCCCTATCATGGCAACCCTCTGCTCTCAGAAATAGCACCAGTGGTCTCAGGTGGTATTCTAGAGTTACTCTGCATGGCCTATGCTGAGTTTTACTCATTTGCCTTTTTCTTATTACTATTTGCCCTTATATATTCAATACTTAACAACCAAAAAGTGTGCTCTCCATTTGCAAATTATTCAAGCACCTTCTACCCTCACTACCCTCTGCTCTCTATCTTTATTTTCTTCTACTACTCAAAGGTTACATTCTAGAAGAGAAGAAACCAAACACAAACCTGAGCTTTCTCCTTTTACTAGCCTCTTTCCTGAAGGAGAGGAGGTCTTTAAATAGTATCACCATGCAAATACAGATGGATACAGGGACTCACATATTTTTCTCACATATTTTTCCAGTACCTGTCATATGACTGCATTCCATCCCTAGATGTTCAGGTTTTTGTCTCCGTGATTCCCCTAACCTCAGAGGAACTTAGGTTTCATATTCTGAAGTCATGTTTGAGCCCTTGACTCCATATCTTATCCCCAAACCCTGTGGTTTCTTCCTTCCCAATATGTCTTACATACTTCTCTAGCCCAACTGTCACCACTCTGCCTCTAGTTCTCATCATCTCTCTTCTAGAAGAATGTTTCTCAAAGTGTGCTCCCTAGACCACCAGCACTAGGATCACCAGGGGAACTTGCTAGAAATGCAAATGCAAATTCTCATGCCTCACCACAGACTGAATTAGAAACTCTGGGGGTGGGGCCCAGAAAGCTGTGTCTTACAAAGCCCTCCAGGGAATTCTTATGCATACTCAGGTTTGGGAACAAATGTTTTAGGCTAACATGAAAATCCTCTAACTGGACTCTCTCCCTCTAGCCTCTTTTTTTCTCTCAACACATTCTAAACAATGATGTTGCTTATCTTCTTCCCAAAATATTGTAACAATTCTATAATTCTTGTCCATTCTTTCAGCAACTACAATGTCTTCCCATTAAAAGAAAAAACAACTCATGAAGCCTAGCACTCAACACTCTTCATTAACAGTCTTTTCCAGTCCTATCGCTGTCAATCTCCCCTAGTCTCTTCTAAACTCCTCAAGTCAAACACATCTCTTGATTGTATTTCTTCCGCTGGAGCATAGCTTTGGGTGCATGGTAGGGATGAAGAAAATACAAAGTCATAAAACGTGGAATAGTGCAATACATTAAAAAGTAGAAATAGTACAAATCAAAATTAAAACTGCCAAGTGTTTAGAAAATATTGATGATAAAAACACTCAACATCAAATCTTATGGGATATGACCAAAGCCAGGTTTAAAGGGAATTCATAGCTTTAATAATTGCCTAGTTAAACAAAAAGAAATGAAAATAAACTAAGTGATAAAGAGAACACTAAGAATTATAATTGATAGAGCAGAAAGGAAGACACTAGATTAAAAGTTCCTTGAGTAAAGGGCCTGAATCCCCTTCTTCTCCATCAGCATTTACCACAGTGCCAAAAGAAAAGGGACCTTATCTCTCTTCTTCACTGCTGTATCCCAACACCGGGAAAGTGTCTGCAATATCACATGCACTCAATAAATATTTATTCTATGAATGAATAGTATGCAATCAGCCCTGTGCTAAGCACCATACATGACTTACTTTATTTAACCCTCCCAGTAACTCTGTTAGGTATACACTATTATTATCATCCCCATTCTACCAATGAGAAAAATTGAGTCACAGGATGATTAACTCAGTTGTCCAAGATCACAATAAATGTCATAGCCAGGACTGAAACCCAAGCAGCCTACCTCTCTCTTAACCACTAACTAGGCTGTACTACTTCTTTGGCAGTCTGAGCAAGTCTTATAATTTCCAGCACAGGAGTTCTGAGATGGGGTAGGTCAGTGGAGTATGGATGGAAGAGTTCTCTGGAAAGGATTCATCATGTGGATTAATACCAAAGCAGAGAGATGCAAACATGTTCCCTACTTAGTCCACATCACCATCCACATCAAAAATGATTTGTTCTGTGTCCCATTTCCCCAGAGCCCTGCTAAGTGCCTGAGTGATTTAGCATGCTGATCTGAACTAAGGCTTACCCAACTACCCTGCAGCAGGATGATCTTGCTTGCCTCTGAGATTATGTAGCCCTTCACTTGACACCAATAACTCACTACTATATACTATTGGTCAGCCTTACTTGTATAATTGTCTGGTCTCTGTAATTAGATTGTATTTTTTTAATGTGGGCATAATATAATGCCCAACTATTTCCATGCTTCCCCCATCAATACCTAACCCAGTGCCTAGTATATAATGGGTAATATACAGGGGTGGGCAGAAGTAGGTAAATAATAATAAATAATACAATAATTAATCAATAAATAATACTACAAGAATAAACTGTTTTACATACTCACAACTGTAAACCTACTTTTGCCTACCCCTGTATAAATATTTACTGATTAACATGAAGAAATTAAGTGTATCTCCCAGAAAAGCGCATGGCTAACTGAAAGACTTCCAAGACTTTCATATTCAATCCCATTTGGCTTCATAACTATTTTGAAAGAGAGGAGAGCACAGGATGGTTCCAAAGAGAGAGCTAGCAATACCAACCCCATCTGAGTTTTTAAAGTAGGCCAGTCCTTATTTGATGACCTCCACTTCCTCCATCTTTCCCCATTGCTCTGGTAAACCCTGAGGAAGAAAGGTACCAGGTAAACTTACACTAAAGTACAATCTAAGGAACTACTTTCCCTGGAGAAAAGCAGTGCTTAACTCTCAGAAATGAATCACTAATGGTGGAATATCAGACATACGAAACCTATTTGGGAGAAGCTGTCTTTACCAAGATCCTTTCAGACATACTACCAGTATAAGACCTCCTTTGTCCATACTCAAATATCACACCATACATACAAACCCACAAAGCTGTCAGCGCCATCCCCAAGTCTCTCCAGCAGCCTTTTCTTCCCTTTCTCCTCTCTCCCAATCTCCATCACCAGCCTCTGCTAAATTGCATTTTCTTCCATTGCTTTGACAATCACTGTGATAAGTCATATGTCAGTAACTATAACAACAGGCTGCCACAGTGCAGGAGCTCTGTCTTTTGGGGAGATAAAAACAAGATTTATTTACCTGGGGGCAATCAGGGATGTAAGCAAATGCAGGCCTCCTGAAGGACCTTGGATTCAGATGAGTAGGCTACTCTCAGGAAGGCATTCCTCCCACAATTAGAACCCAAACACCTGTCCTTTTTCACAGAGGCTTTCCCCCACCTCTCCAAGGGATTGGGCACAGCTGACCTCCATCAATCTTGGGTAAACTAGTGCCCTCTTTGGCTTTACTGGGCATGGAATTTGACCTCAGGCTGGTAGCAAGACCCCCTCAGCTCCATCTTTACCCCAGCCCATTGCCCTCTTCTCCTTCTTTTAGCCTATCAAAACTGCTCTCAGATAAAGATTGGAAGCCAGGCATAAATGACTGATACTGACTTCAAGTATCAACACTTACATGGAGACATGAATTTTTAATAGGGACCAAATCTTAAAGTAAAAATGGTGATTCACTATCAGAATTCCCTGCACTAGACAACAAGTAGAATCCTCTGTGTGTGTGTGTGTGTGTGTGTGTGTGGTGTTACTTTGCCATCTTCTTGTGTGTGTTATTCTGTGGTCTTCATGCTGCTCCAAAAATGTGACCCTCTCGTCAGCATCCAGTCTTAATCTACTATGGCCTATTCCATTAGGGGCAGATTTGGGCAAGTTGGAGGACTTGTGATTCCTTGGGGTAAAAACTCTTAAGTAATTCTCAAAATTCAAATATTTTGGACTGCAGAAGGTTTAATACCAGCCTATTTCTTGTCCATTAAGTCTACTCCCTTCAGCCCACTGACTCTGGGAACCACTAGGAAAGGATCAGCATCAGGGACAGCAAATCCAGCAACACTCCAGAGAGACTGGTATCTGTGTATGGTCACAATAAGCTCAAAGATCAATCATTGTGCAATGGAGAACTTGTCAAAATGCACATTCCTGAGTCTTTTTGCACACTTAGAGAACCAGAATTTTGTGGTTTGGGCCTTGAATCAACATTTTAATAAGCCCATCCCCTACCTGTTTCTAGGTAAGAGGTCTATGTACCTCTCTGTATTTGTTTCATATATCTGCCATAACAAACTACCTCAAACTGGGTGGCTTAAAATAAAAGAAACGTCTTCTCTCATAGTTCAGGAGGCCAGAAGTCCAAAATAAAAGTGTTGGCAGGGCTGGTTCCTTCTGGAGGCTCTAAGAGAGAATCTGTTCTATGCCTTGGCTTATAGCCACATCACTTCAATCTGTGCTTCTCTCATCACATAGAGTTCTCCTTGGTGTGTTTGCATCCAAATATCTCTCTCCTTTCTCTTATAAAGACACCAGTCATTTGATTTAGGGCCCACACTAATCCAGGATGACCTCGTTTTAACTTTATTACATCTACAAAGACCCCTTTTCCAAATAAGGTCACATTTACAGGTACTGGGGTTTAAGACTTGAACATATCTTTGAGGAGGCACAGTTCAATACACTATACACTTTATGAGAAATATTAGTCTAGAGAAGTGGTGGTTTTCAAACATTTTCAGAGCTTTTCATTAAATGAAATCCTGCGCAGATGTAAAATAGACAGACCCAAGCAGAGCTGTCCTAATTTAAATGCAGGTTGGACACACACACACACACACACACACACACATATCTGCTGGGCCCCTGAGGAGCAAGCACAGCTGGAAAACTATTGGTCTAGACAATAAAATGACAGGCTCTAATTCAGAGTTTCAGGTACTAGCCAGCTTATAGCTTACAGGGTAATCTTGGGCAATTCATAAGGTCTTTTACACATGTCCAATTATGGAATCACCCTACATCTCAATTTCCTCATCTGT